GGGGGGGGGTTAACCAGGAGGCGGTGTTTGTTGCCCCGGGGTCTCGAGGAGGTGGTATTCGTGGGGGCGTGGGGCATACAGCACCTCATACAACATCTCGTACAACGCGTAGCGTGATCGAAGTCGTCGTTGCTGTTGTTGCTGCTTCATACATCGATGGGTGTTGCAGGTAAGCTCTCTCGTCGACCGTTATCTTTCCCGCGTCCCCAACGAGTGCTTCCAGAGGGTGCATGCGTGCTGGTTTGGAGACACCTCGGGCAGAGACACTTCCAGCAACCCTTCGCATGCTCATACAAATACGCCTCCAACTTGAACAGAGAGGAAACGGACGGAAAAACTCGCCCGTTCCCGCGGGCGGCACCGCCAAAAAAACAAATCCCACTCATCTCATCATTATGTTCCCATCCGCTCTCAAACCCACTCCAGCCTCACAAAACCCCTTTGTTTCCCTTTTTTTGTTTCGATTCTTGCCGGTTAGAACAAAAAGGTTGTGGTTGTGTCAAACTGAAATGCAACCAGGCGACGCCACAATCATGCCATTGTATCAAAACAAAAAATCAGGGTTACGTCATTGCAAAACAAAACACGCATGTATGCATACGACGCCTCCGCGACAATAGGCAAGCCTCTCAAGATCTAGAAGGCCCACACGTACCCGAACTGTCCCTTCCCGCGCTTGCGGCCGACGGCGTCGATCTCGTCGATGAACACGATGCACGGGGCGTTTTTGCGGGCCTCCTTGAACAAGTCGCGAACTCGCCCGGGGCCGACTCCCACGAACATCTCGATGAAATCGGAACCTGAGATTGTTTTTGTGGTTTGATAGTGGCCGTTTCAGGTTGTGAAAGGGGGGGGGTGGATTCATGTAAGCGCATGCCGTAGTCGTTAGACCATTGCCCTCGCACTGCCGGAACGGAGGAGCGATGTGCCTTCCGGGTTTTCGCCGGCCCAGGCCCCATTTACCAAGGACGAACCGGGGGGAAAACAGGTGGGGAGGCGGGAGTGAGCGATGCGCGTTGGGGTCTTATCTACGGGTCTTTGGCGCAGAGCAACAGCGGTGAAAAATGATTCGACGTCAGGTCTGAAACCATGAAGGTAGCTCCGTCAGGACAGTAACTGCCTGAGCATGACCCAGTTCTTGTGCTGCGTGGCACGAACAAAGCACCGGTGAATGAACCGCCGAATGCTGCTTGGGGAATCGATTAATCACAGGCAGTGTGCTCCTGTAACGCAATGAATCCAATGCGAAATCCTAGATCGTAATCTATGGACAGAGCTGGATCCGTACGATATCTTGAGAGAACAAAACAAGGAAGAAGGACGGAGTGGGACGCTCCAAGCTTCGGCACAAAAGTATGGGCACTACTTAATGACGACGGCGACGGTGGTAAGGCCGCCCCAAAACTTCGGTGGTCGAGTTGGCTATGTACCGTACACATGTCTTCCCAAAAACAATGAACATAGGTATTTACAACTCAAGTATAGTAGTACCACCTTTTCATTTTTGATATACTGCTCGTACCCCTTCTTTCTTTTGTCCGCCTGTGCAATGCAAAACAACGTATTGAGACACATGTAGGCAAGAGACACACCTGACACGGTGAAGAAGGGCACCTTGGCCTCACCCGCCGTAGCCTTCGCCAAAAGAGTCTTGCCTATTCGAAAAAAAAAAGGAACAGTTACGACGCGCAAAAAATGAATAATCAATGGCATCATTGCAACGTGGGGGCTGTGCGAAATACCGAATACATTTTTTTTCCTTGAAGTGACACCATTGCAACACGAGGGCTGTATGTGTCCAGCAAGCAGCACTGTTGTCCGCAGCAGAGGACTCTTGGTTTCGGGGGTTTCTTCATGCGTCCCTAGATCAAACTACGTTGCGGTTCCATCCCTGCAGTCGATGTGACAACATTGACAACATCAACGAAGGCAACGACACGAACGAACACTCCACGATAGCCCCCCACTCCTATACCAACCTCTCCGCATCCTTGTTGTCTTGACACTAAAAACCGTTCCGATCTCTCTATATCCAGTACCTTCACATGTCCGCACTCATCCAACAATTGACGCGGTCGATTCCCGTGGTAACAGGCTAACTTGCCCAAAAAGGTACACTCAAATAAACTGCCCCCGACCATCAAGCTGGGTATACGCCCACGCAACAGGGGGCATTGGGGGGCGCAACGCACCTGTCCCCGGGGGCCCCGACAGGAGCGCCCCCTTGGGGATCTTAGCCCCTAGGTTGGTGAACTTCTCCGGCGTCTTGAGGAACTCTACGAACTCCATGATTTCCTTCTTCGCCTCGTCCACACCGGCTACGTCCTTGAAGGTGACCTTCACACTGTCCGGCTTCACCTGGAAGGAAAAGGAAAAAGAGAGCTCAAAAGAGGATGGTTCTTCGACCCTGTTGAGGGGGGGCTTTGCAGGGCACGAACCGGAAGAAGCAATTGAGGGTGCTTGCTATCAGGGTGGGTGCGGGGGACTCTAGTCAGGATTTTCCCTCGATTTTCTTTTTCATAACGGAAACTAAGCGCTCGCATAGCGTCTCTGCGGCGAATCTACATCCTCACTTCATCATCGTGTTCGCGTGTACTCACTCCACCATGCAGAGCCAACTCCCAACTTTTCAGCTTGAGGTGAAATTTTCAACTTTGTGGTGTGGCTGGAGTCAACCTTCATCTCTCGCGCTCCCAAACACCCTCCCGGTCCAGTACTTTTCGAAGGTGGTGGCAGTCCGAGACAGTGCACGGAGCGCACGTTCAACAAAACCCTCGCCTTTCATCTTTCATCCACCGGACCCCCACAGCGCCTCTCCTCTGTTCAAAGAACATCCCCCCACTGATGACCAACCATCCTTGTGAACCACAGCCTGGGCCGGCGAAACACTCGGCATACATCTCGCTCCTCCGCTCCGGCATTGTAGGGATGCGAGGTCAAAGGTTTAACGACTACGGCACGCACTACCATGAGTACACCCCCCCCCCGGGCAAGTTGTTTCTAGAGTGCATGCAAACCGTACTCGCATACAAGATGTAAAGAGGCAAGAACGAAATGGCCCAGTGGACCCGCAGAATCGACTCGATGCAACGAGTACCTTTCCGCCGACGTCCTACCGCCGCTAATTTCTCTCGTTCTCACCCTGGTCGCCGTAGAGTCCATCATCTTGAAGACCCTCCCGATACCGCCGGGGCCGCCGCCCGCCCCTCCCCTGCTCCCTCTGCTCAGGTACACCAGCGTGCCCACCACCACCAACGTCGGCAAAAGCCTTCGTCACCCAAACGAAAAAAAAAAAAAGGACAAAAAAATAAGGCAAACACAGCACGCGATTGATCTGTTAGGGCCACACAGGGCAGATAGAGGGGACAGCAAGAAATCGAATCAGCAACAGACACAGCATGCGATTGATTTGCTAGGGTCACACGGGGCAGAGAGAGGGAAGCGTCATCGTGGACGCGTCGACACCCAACCCGCGTCGTTAAATGCGGCGCTTCGCCGGCGGCGTGCGCTCGTAAAACCACGTACAGCAGGAGCTGGTACTGTAGGTTGCTATCGCTGCCTCCGCGGTATATCTCCGAGTGTATAACCCGCGCGGTTCGAGGGTGACCATCCTGCCCCGCTCCTAGACAATAAGACAAGCCACACACCAGGCACTCCGCCAGTTGCGTCATGTCCAACGTGAAAACCACACCCGCACTCCTTCGTGACCTCTCTTCTCACCGTCCATGCCGTCAATGCCACCCCTCCACCGCTACCAAGTATGTCTCTTCCCCTTCATGAGAGTCACGCCCCTTCACCCGCAGGCTTTTCGACCTTCATGGCGCCCCGCCCCCCCCCCCCCCCCCCCCCCCCCCCCCCCCCCCCCCCCCC